TTGTTCAGGGGGCCGGACCAAATGAGGAGGCGGGCCGGATCCAGCCCGCGGGCCGTAGCTTGGGGACCCCTGACTTAGGAGATATACTCTGTGTGTGGATATGTTTATTTCTGTATTTCAACATTGCACCTTTCCGGTGCAGGTTCTGTAAAGCCACAAAACAGGTTCACATATACATGCCACGATTATTAGTAAGGCATTTCAACTAAAATAAAACAGGACTCCAACCTCTCCACTGTGGGAAAGACCAAACGGTTGTTTAAGGACTTCTGGGACAAAATTGTAGACCTTCATGAGGTTAGACTGGGCTGCAGGACAACAGGCAAACATTTTAGTAAGATTCAAAGTCTACTGGTGCAATTGTTAGCAAATGGAAGACACTCATGACGACTGTCAATCTTCTTCTAGCCTTGTGGAGTATCAATGATCATGAGAAAAACGAGGGATCAACCCAAAACTACACAGAAGGGCTTGTTCAATGACATAGGACCACAATCTCAAGGGTTGCCATAGTTACATGCTGTGTTGTCATGGATTAAAATCTCCAAGCACATCTCAAGGTCTCTCTGAAGTTTAGGCAATGACCATGTGGATGGTCCAGGAGAGGCAAGAGAGAAAGTCTTATTTTTCCCTCTTGCTTTCCAGAGGGATAAACATGGAAGAGAGTATACTCAGTTTTAATTAGACAGGAATGTTCTTCGTTGCCAATTCTGTCGTCTTCCTTCACCTTTGTAAAAATTTGTATGTCCATGCAAAGATTTATAGAGCTCCAGGTATTTATGAATGACAGATGTGTTAAATAATTACATACAAATAACTTAAGTTAAAAAAGAGAGTTGCACCTGCTCTCATTTTTGGCTCATTGTTTTCTTTTTTTCCTTACCAACAAAGATGCTCTGCAATTTTTAAGAAAAAATTCTTACTTGTGAATCCTGCTGCATTTTCAGCAGTAAATAAAGAAGCTGTCTCTACATGTCTGACAGAGGAATGTGTCCTTGCAAGATTCTTGGGCAAAAACAATGTAACATCAATTTAAAATCCAATTTGAGTCTACAGCGCTGCAGTATTTCCCCATTCAGATTTTTTCTTTTGATTTTTTTTTTTTTCTTTCAGATCAAATACATCATAATATCAGGAAAAATAGCCTGTGGAGACAAAAAGAAAGTGTTTCAAATGGTCATTTCACTGAATTTTATATATACTATATATAAATTAAAAAAGAGCCACACATGGTGATGCCAGTGTGATGATGTGGGGCTGCTTTACTGCTTTCCCCTTCACAAATGAAGCAACTTGTTAATTATATTTTCTATTTCCTCAGGTTATCTTTGACATTAAAGCTGATTCAATTTAAGTGTAACTATGATTAAAAACAGGAAATCTGTAAAGGGGCAAATACTTTTTTCACATTATTCAACATGATGAAAGCAACTTAAAGGCCAGCCAATGTTTCCTAACGTAGGAAGAATAAATAAGGGTGGAGTTTGCCTCCTTCTCACATGTTCTCAAGGTTGGGCTGTTCTTTATAACAGCGACACTCAGTCGCTTTCCAAGCCATTCCTCATTCTTCGTCTTTTTGGTCCTTTCACTCAGCAGGTGAGACTTTTATTTTGATCATTTCTGGGCATCTTAAAACAACTCGGCTTGGAGTGATCAGGTAGCAGAAATTATTTATGACAGTAAAATGTTCCTGTATCCACACCACTATTGTTGTATTTAAACTGTTTGTTTTTTTACATGTTTAGGATGATAGCAACAGCTAAAAAAATGGTGGGTGGGGAGGAAAGCTATAAATAATGTAATTAGTTTTAATAGTGCAAAACCGATGCAATGCCTCACCTTTTAAGGGTTGGGGACATTCACCCTAGTGCGCGATTTGGGGGCTTTATTTTAGAGGAGCTGTGACTTTATACCTGTGCTGCTCTGCAGCCAGAGGGAATTGTGTAACACATTCCAACCTAAACGTAGGGTGGAAAAGAAAAAGTAATTTTCTCTCCTTGTATTTCAGTCGGAGGGAGGGGATCGTCTTCCAGGTCAGCAAGGTTAGTGCCGACTGGTTCTGCCTCTGTTCTGAGCAAAAGAAGCAGTTTGAGTCATTTTAGTTGACAAGCTCTAGCTTAGATTGGCATATTGCATCCAGCCTTTACGTCATTTACTGTTTATTGGTAATTTTATATAGATTTACTGTGCAGGATCATTTGTAACTTTCATATTGGATGCCATCCCACTGAAAATATATGACGTTTTTTTCCTCACAATTTCAGATGCATAAAAATGCATGTTACCAGCAACTAATGGAGCGTCCAAAAAGAGATGGTGCTTTAAAACAAGAATGCCACAATAATGGGTAGGAGGCTTTCTTCAAGGTCTAAATAACTTTATCTTAATATCCAGATTTGCCTTTGAACCCAATNAATAATTTTTAAAAATTGTTGGGGAAAATTAAAACCCATTTTGTCCCTGTTCTCAAGAATCACTGACCTCTGTTTATTGCTGCTGGTGGCGCAGTGCAATGGCGCCCATCTTGCTGGTCCAGAGACAAGAGGGGTATGGCTGCAGGATGATTTGGAAAGCCACTCCCCGTGCTCTGGCCTTTCAAAATAAAAAACTAAACTAAAAACTCAGGCTAACCATTTTTCTCAGTGTCCAGATGTCCATTTGTTTCTCACAGCTGCAAGTCTTAAACCGACTTGCAGCTGGCAGAAAATACCTAAGTACATAGCCTGAAAAAACGAAACTGCCAGAAAATACACGCACCCTAGCTGGTCCGTGTATTTTCAGGCAGTTCGTTTTTTCGTTTGAAATGGAAAATGAAAAAACGTTTTTTCGTTTTCCGTTTAGAAAACCAAACTCCGAAATCGGATTTTTGGCTCGTTATCCGATTTCCCATTTAGTGCACAAAACAAAAATGGAAAAAACGAATACCAAGCTGTCAATTTCGACTTTCATTATTTCATTTTGGACAAGTGGTCTGACCCGGAAGTTCTCTCTGTCCGGCTTACACAGGGGGACCGTATCACACACATTATGCAGGCTGCAGGAAGACAAGCTTGTTCTTTTCAAGTTTCAGGCTATATACTGAAGTATTTTCTGCCACCCGCAAGTCAGTTTAAGTAATGCTCCTGTGAGAAACAAATAATACCGGACATCTGGTCACTGAGAAAAATGGTTAACCTGAGTTTTTAGTTTAGTTTTTTATTTTGAAAGGCCAGAGCACGGGGTAGTGGCTTTCCAAACCATCCTGCAGCCATACCTGTCGTCTCTGTACCAGCAAAATGGCCACCATTGCACTGCGCCACCAGCAGCGATAAATGGAGTTAAGTTTGTCACAAAAATTGTTTTAGGATGTTTTTAGACTAGAAAGTAGCCCTTATAACTTCATTTACACACTTAGTCCATGCAGTTTCTTTGAAATATACTCCGGAGTTTTCGGAGCAGCGTAGCTCCGCTAACGGGGCCAGGCGGCTCCAGGCTTAGCAGGCGGGTGGATTGTGTTTTCCCCGCTAACCGCGGCCTCTCTGGAGAGCTCGATACTTCTGAAGATGTTAGTATCTTCTAAACATTGACACAGTGTTCTCTTCCAATACCAGTTATTAATATTCCCTTTCTCTGATGTTTTTGTAGTTTGTAAATTATTCTTCCCTTCGATTGGCTTCTTACGTGCAGCGTGAACATTTTTTTAATATTTATTATTTTATTGTTTCATACGAGGAGAGGCCTCAGCTTCATGTTTGGAAGCAGCTTCCCAGAATCTCCCAGTGATCCTCTTCCTCCTCCTTACATCGTCTTCTTCACTATCTCCTCATCTTTTATGAGGAGATAGTGGATAGGAATATTTTTTCATGATTCCCCAAACATTGGCTGAATACCTGCTTGTCTGTTATTGTAATAAATACATTTTTATGAAAACATTTTGTCTGTTTATTTCGTAGGATTTGAGTTTAAAGCTCTGTCTACATATATATTGATACAAATTAAATATGAAATAATTCTTTTAATGTTTCTTGCTTATAAATCCAGTGCTAAGAAATAATGGAAAGAATCAACTCAAAAGTTGTTCATTATGTTTAGTCAGTTGAGAGCAATAAGTTATAAGTTTTCTAACACCAACTGATGTGCAAGATTTTTTTTAGATTAAAGCCAGAATGAAGACCTGTTTTCTTTCACAAATCCTCTTCCATAGGCTAATATTTATTTAGTTAAGCTTTTAATAATCTAATTGGCATACTTTAAAACATTTCCTGCCTGGTAGAAATAGATAAATTTTTATATTTTGGATAACATTTTCTGCTTGCTTGTTCATAACATACCAGTTTATAATTGGTATGCTATGCTATTCAGAAAGGAAAAACCTAAAGACCTATATGATTTGAATGACGGCGTTGGACAGAATGTTCTAGTCGTGGTTTGAGCGTCGTTTTAAAACCACAGCAGATTGAAGGTTGGTAAAAATTGGGCGGACTAGTGCTTTGGCCACCCAATTTCTTTATTTTTCCCCAAGTGGGAAATTTAAGTTTTAATGGAATTGGCAAATTTACATTGTGAAAGTGCAAAAATAATCTTCATTAGTTGATTGTTGCGTTATCATAGCTACAATCTGATGCAATGAGTTTAATCTTTGTGTGATTAAAAAGTTTCAGCATAAATAAATTGAAAAGTTTAAAATGTTTAAGACTTAAATATAAGATTGAACAGAACTGGCAAGCTTACTTCATAAAAGTACAACTAATACAGTTTGATTGTTGGTTTGCTATAGATACAATCTGATCCTATGAATTTAATTTTGCGTTTAATCTACTCAGTATGTCCACGATTGTCTTTCAGCAAATAACTAATTTTCTCCCAGAGTCCCTGTCTGAGATTCCACCAAATCTTTATTGAAATGCTGTTAGTAGTGGAAATGTTAACATATCATATTCTGCTTAAAGGATCCATGATTAGCTGTAACAATAGGCTTTTAGATTATTTCGTTTTTATAAATTTTAATAAAATATTGTCACACGGACGTTGCCATGTTGATCACGCTGCAATGCATTCTGGCATGTCTACAGGTCCGACTGTGCAATGAGCAATGAGTAACATCTTTAAGCCTTTTCAACTTTGAAGAACGTTCAAATTGATGGGAAAGTATAAATCGCAAGAGGTAATGAAGATGAGGAAGAGGACAGAGTTGGCTTAAGATGGTGTTTTGCTGCTGCTGCCGCCACCTTCACTTCCATAAATGAAACAATGAATGATACGTGCCTTTGGTCGGCAGTAGCAATAGCTCCGTAAACATATGAAGAATTCCCAGCGCTGCTCATCTCTGATCTTTCTCCTAGTGTCTGCAGCTCCGTGTCCTGTCTGATAACAGTTGTTTAGGGTCCGGTCTTTACCCAAATCCTGAACAGGATTTATGCAATTCATTATTTTTGTTTATGCAAAAATAATGAATTATTTTTGCATATCCAAATGATTTTAGGCATTATTTGGAGCTGTTTGGTATAACTTCATCACAGCCCAGTTTAGATATAAAAGCACCGTGCTCCCTCCCCACCTCTGCCCGCCCAATGGTGAGTCAGAATTTGATGTAGTAAAGGTTGCCATGGCAACCTGTGAGCATTGGTTGATAGTGGTACTCAGCTTTACAAATGCATGATTTATTTGCAATATTGACACAAAGTGACATGGGTCTGCTCTGCTCTGACTATGTGGTGAAGGCATGGTGTTGAACGGATGACTGTGTCAGACTGGCTGCAGTGCTGAAGAAGCAGAAAAGAATCTGCAAGCAAGCAGGGAACTTTTTTTGAGAACAAAAAGATGAAACCCTGCTTTCAAACTGAAAGCCTAAGCACAAGTATTACAAGTTCTGAGAACAACGAAATTAAATTCTGCTTTCAAAGTGAAAATGTGTGCTCTCGACTTATGGCAGTAAAATCCCCCCATACATTTGCTTGGCTGCTGGTTTAGGCCCTTTGTGGACAAAAATTGTTGGAATTCAATTGTTTTTAGCTTGTAAAGGTAACGCTCACCTGTTAAAGCCTTAATCAGTTTTGCCTGTACAAATTAATCAAAATCTTCTCTAGAGAAATGTTGAAAGTAGGTCCTTCGGAAATTGTGTTTGGCTTTAGCTCACAATTTCCAAGCCAGAAATTGGCTCGGAAATTGTGAAAATGGTCTTTTCTTTTCACCAGTCAAACTCATTATGTTAAACAACAACTCAGGGAAAGTTAGCCTTCCTGTATTTACTTTGTAGATTCCAGTACAGAACCGCATCACTAACCCAGCAGGTGAAAAAATAGCAACCTCAATGGGAGAAAAATATTATGAAAGATACAAATTTTTTGAAGTAATTATGAGCATTGGCATATGACAAACAGCAATTTTTTTAATTAACAGTTTTCCTATTAACTAAACAATTGCCGTTTGTAATATGTTGGTCTATATTTAGGCCAACATGTTGTTCAACTAATCTAGGATCCCTTTAAGGTTCAATAACACCTTGGGCCAGCCCTGCTCAGAATCAAAGAATAATCTGTGAAATGATATATCATGATAAAGGCCTTCTTAACCTGTTGTTCACAGGTTGTCATTCACAATACAGGGGTGTCAAACTCCAGTCCTCAAGGGCCGCTGTCCTGCAGTGTTTAGATGTGCCACAGGTAAAAAACAGTGGAATGAAATGGCTTAATTACCTCCTCCCTGTGTAGATCGGTTCTCCTGAGCCTTGCTAGTGACCTAATTATTATTTTCAGGTGTGGTGCAGCAGAGGCACATCTAAAAGTTGCAGGACAGAGGCCCTTGAGGACTGGAGTTTGACACCTGTCATTTACGAGAGGACCCAAATTTGGGTCCTCTCGTGAATAACAGGTTAAACTAATTTAGAATAATGAAGAGTGTGCAAGAGTCCGTCTATGTATGGTTTAAGTATGTTTCTGCTACACTTTTAACTTTTTCCAGAATATATTTCTGTTTTTCTCTTTGGTAAATAACCATGGAATAACAGCTCCCCAAAAAACCTTTTCACTTTGTTCTGCCATCCTACAATGAGTAAATTAGCTGAACTAAAACAAACATTTTATTTTGTTCATTTTGTTTACTTTACTAATTTGATAAAAAATTCATTCCATTTGTGCTTCAGTGTTGTGACTGTGAGACCACCTTTGTTAATTTTTTTTTCCAACCTTATTTTGCAGGATCCCCAACCTCTCCCATATCTACAACATGAAGATGCATATTCCTTCAACATTAACCTGTTTGTGTCACTCAAGGGTACTGTACACATCCAAACACACACAAGAAACTTGCAAAAATTCGGTGTACATTGAACTACAGACGAAAGAGTTTTTATTTGTCATATACAATCATCTACAGTTGAAACTACAAGTTTGCATGCAGAACATTTTTTTTTTCTGCAAGTGAG